AACATGTTTGTTTGTCAACACATCAAAATAAGTGTACTCCTAAAGCATAACAAATCATTAAAACTGTATAACAAATAAAACTGTTAATTTGACATTTTTACAAAGTGCACGTTTTAAAAGTGTACTTAAGTGTTTTAGGAAACATGAACGTTTTTTTTTTCTGTTAAAGCACTTAAGTGGCCTTTCATTTCGTTAATACTATATTAGCATGTTTTTTTTTTATATACTTTTAAGATTTGAAGTATACTACAAGTACTCATTCAATACAGTACGTTGCATAGAGTTTTGTTATTATTTAAAGACAAAGAATTACATTTACATATAATAATTACAATTACAAAAATATTACATTTAACGAAAAATTTTTTATTTGAGTATAGTTGAGAATGATTTTAAGAGTTAAAAATTCTGTGTGTATTATATATAATACAAAAATATGCATCATAAACACATAAAAGGAAGTATACATTGTAGGAGCTCTAACTGGTCCTCGTTCATTTACTTATAATTACCTTTCACCTTTTCTTTTGTTCAATAGGCTATAAAATGCATATAGTATAAAAAGTACACAACTGAATGCAGTCTCAATTAATATAAGGCCATAAATAAGCAACTCTAATGTTATACAAGAATAATAAATAAGTGTTTAATGTCGTTTTAGATTAAGTACAGCAGGTCACAATGCAGGACAGTGCTGTCACCGCTCGACATGTCATGTCAACTCCATATATCCTATTGCCGAGACAATGAAGCAGAGAGAGACGGACAGATGAAGGCTGGTCACTGAACATGGTCTGCTGGTCTTTGGATGAATTAAACGCCCTCGTACAACCTTCTGTCGGCTACGTGTCTGATTCTTCGAGAGCCGTCCAGTGTCACGCTTGTAGTACACTGCCAAGCTAAACCCACAGATGTCTCAACATCTCTAGGAAGTCTGACTTTTCCTGAAGGTTGTGTAAGTACACATAAGCTATCTGTGCCCCTGCTGGACAATCCAGTTTGAGCTGCCCACAGTGTTTTGGGCAAAGTATGAGGACGTGTTCTGGCTGGTCTTTAAGATGCTCATTTGCTTGACCTGCAACCTAAAAATCACCTGAGCAGATTGTAGATGATTTATTGCTGGTCCACAATGGTCAACCAGCCTGGACCAACTAATAACCATGTTAGACCAGCTAATGTCTTGACTGGGCCAGTTAACTGCCACTCTAGACCAGCTAATGACCAATTTAGAGCAACTAACAGGCAGTTTGACCCAGCTGATGACCATCTAGAAATCAGTTAGCATGTTCCAAACACAGCTACCATCTTAAACTGGGTTTTCTACCAGGGTGTGTTATTTAAATACTCCCAAAACGATTTACAAGGCTGTTACTCATCGGAAAAGCAATTAATTTACATTTGGGTTAATTCAGCGTTCGAAATAACAAAATAGGCCTACATGCAATGTATTTTATTATTATGTGCCTACATTAAAAGTCTAAAATTCGCATACTTTACTAATACAATTGACATAAATACGCACACGCAGATTAGTGTACAACATGGGCGACCAAGAGCTCATTTATGATTTATTATAATCATATTTGGACAGTCTTGTATGAGGAACTCTGAACACAATGACAGCAATTAAAAAGTTTTATGAAAAACAAGTTGACGCACACGGTATTTGCATGTCTGACATACCTATGGTGGTAATGACCGTGATGGCGAAGTAAAAGGAGCCAGCGAACCTCCACTGGACTCCAGCCTTGTGCGGCTTCAGCTGCAGCACGACCCGCTCCAGCTCGTCAAAATTCACTTTGCTCAAGTTGTACTTGTCCATTAGCTCTCGCTTCCGATCGTCCAGGATTCTCTTTTGGGTGATCTCCATCTTGGACTCTAAAGCGTCAAAAACAGCCGCTCCGACGAGCAAATAAGTGAAAGTGCAGATGATTAACACGAGGGTCCTGATGTTTTGTCTCTTCATGGTCAGAGCGAATGAAGCGAGCCGCAAACTTGGAGGACTGAGGACTGTTTCATTGCGACGGGGCTCACTGAGCTGTTCCTTCAGCACCACGGGTGCACATGTGCCTGTCGAGTCAACACATCTCAGCCGTGTTTCATCTTCATAACCTCCCATTGGTACAAAACAGACAGTTCATTTGCAGACAGATTTTAAAGGGGCCTCTGAAGATGGAGCTACAATAACCCGAGCGTTTTAAATAGGCTGGGCTCAGCAAACATCGGGAAAAGTGGGACAAATAAGATTAATCAAACGTAACAATGGCTCATAAATACATTTGCATGACATCATCATAGTGGAGATGATCAAGCTTCAACAGCTAGCTGACAAGTGCATTAAAAATCCACCACCGCATGAAAACTTTATTCGAAAACATTTAAAGAATGGAATTATTCGGTGACTGAATTATCAAATACAAAAATAATTGTTGCAAATTGCATTTCATCACAAGATATGTCTAAGTACTATGTTAGATGAAGTGAAAGTTGGTTTAGTGAAGGTAAACAATATCTTTGACTTGAATAAAAGCAGTTAATTTAATTAAGTTACCATTTTAGGTTATTTTTCAGTGTAGCTTTTAGGACTGCAAAACGATCGATCACGATTAATTGATTCAAAATAAAAGTTTATGTTTACATTAGTGCTGTCAAACGATTAATCGCATCCAAAATAAAAGTTTTTGTTTACATAATATAGCCTATGTGTGTGTACTGTGTATATTTATTATGTAGGCTATATACACACATATAGGGTACAGTATATATTTTGAAAATATTTATTTACATGTATATGTTTATATTCGTGGAATTTATATTATATATTTAATATATAAACATAACATTTCTCTTAAATATATACGTGCATGTGTGTGTATTTATATATACACATAATAAATATACACAGTACACACATATACTACGTAAACAAAAACCTATTTTGGATGCGATTAATCGTTTGACAGCACTAGTTTACATACTAAATGTGTGTGTACTGTGTTTATTTATTATGTATATATTAATACACACACATACATGTATATATGTTAGATTTATATATAAAAATTTATATTTATAATATAAATGATACAAGTGTTTACATATGAATAAATCAATATTTTTTATATAAGTGTGTGTATTTATGTATACATAATAAATATACACAGTACACACAAATATAGTATGTAAACATAAACTTTTATTTTGAAACGATTTATCGCGATTAATCGTTTTGCAGCCCTAAAAGGGACAGTTCATTAGAAATTCAAATATTCAAGTTGTTCCAAACCTGTATGAATTTTGTCCTTCTGCTAAACACAAAGGAAGATATTTTGAAGAATGTAGATAACCACACAGTTTCTGGTCCCCACTTGCCGTCAACTGTTTGTTCACCCAACGTTCTTCAAAATATCTATTTATGCTGAACATGAGAAAGAAAGTTTACAGATTCTGGATCTATCCTATAGAGTCTGGATATTTTGTGATATCCAGATGGTAGCTGTTCTATAGCACATGACGGAAAGTGGTTTTACATGGTTTCTAGTTACAGCTTGCTGGTCATGAACTGGTCCAAGCTGATCTAGATAATGGATTAGCTGGAATACCAGGTTGTGAGGCTGAAATCAAGCTGGTAGACCGTAAGTGAGCTGGTTAAAGCAGTTAGTCCACCTTTCACCAGTAACATAACTGTCACTATGTTAAAAAAACCAGCATATCCACCTTAAGTTGATGAGATACAGATTTCCATAAAGGTCACAGACTTTTTTATAGAACAAAATTGTTCTAAAGACATGTTTTGTAGTATTTCACATACTTTTAAAAGCACTGTCTCACTTAGCTTATGATCTGTCCAATAAAACATTAAAAAAGAGGAAGTGCCTAACTATGCTCAAATGTCCATATCACATTATTAAATGAAATTTTGTAAAAATCTACCAAAACTGTCCTACTTTTGCACACCTCACCCTATCATTAAAAAAAAAATACAATGCTTTACAAAAAATTCCATTGATGTTGATCAATAATTGAGCTTAATGTAATGACCTCTCTGTGTATTGTTCATTCTAATTAGATTCCCTCCGTTTCCTGAAGGATGCGGTAAGTGAGACTAAATGAACTAGGAACTTGATACTGTCAGCTCAGATAATCAGCCTCGCTGGCTCTGCCCAGATTCAAGATGTCACAGATATTTGACCATAATCAACCGCAAAATACAGCCATCTTCATCAGGATGAAAATACAGCTGGTAACAGGCTAATATAACTGGTAAAAGGTAAAAACACGTTTTATTCATATTTGTATGGTTTATGTTAATATGGCAATTCAAAAACCATTTCTTATAGTGTATCTCTTATAGTGATGTCATATATACTAATAACAGAAAGTTAAATGCAGGTTGTGATGTTGATCTGATGGCTGAATGGATCTCTTTCCTTCAGATCATGCTCATATAATTGCTGAATATCAGATAAATGATGGAGTGTACATGCGTCGACTGACCACGAGAGAGCGTAGTTGTGCAAAACTTGCAATAAAGCAGATGCACATTGAGGCCATCATAACGAAATGCACCAGTTCATGTGGAATCTGACAGAATGCATTCAATAACAAATAAAGGCTTGAACCTTGATGTTGCAGCATATTTTGCATGTTACACAGTGGCTGCAAATTTCTGTAGTTGTTTTGCCATGCAAATTACAGCCAACACAATTCCAAACCAGTAGGCTATTAGCATTCACCCTAGAGTGAATCTACCACACTTTAAAGGGGTCATATGATGCGATTTCAATTTTTCCTTTCTCTTTGGAGTGTTACAAGCTCTTGGTGCATAAAGAAGATCTGTAAAGTTGCAAAGACTAAAGTCTCAAATCCAAAGAGATATTCTTTATAAAAGTTAAGAGTCAGCCACGCCTACCTAAAACGGCTCATTTTATAAATCAGCCAAAGACGTTATTCCAAACACGGACACGTGATATACACCATATATCGACAGATTATAAAGGTAATTTCAGTGCACCCAGTCTTCGCCGTCGACTGGCCTTTCTCGGGTTGAAATATAATTACACAGTAGCAGGGCATGTGCTGCCGCTCATGTTACCTTTGGTTGACTAGACTGCAGCTGGGCGGTCCTTTACTGCACGAGCTACAAAGTCACTAGAGAACAAAGTTTGAAATGAGTCCCTGCAAAACAAACCTGTGCAACGCACACTGAGCGAGCGATCAATAATGGATTCAGCCAAGCGGGATGAACACATGAGCGAGCACGCCGCCAACCTACTGGGGACAGCACAGCGGTCCAAACGGACACAAAGCGCCACCAAAACAAAGTCAAGATACTTGAAAATCCTCTGTGCGGTAAGCGAAGACTCATGGGACGCTATAACAGCAGGTTTCTGAAACTAGGTTAAACAAGCAACCCATGAGAGTGCTACTCATTTAACCTTTCATCTTAATTGTTTGTGTAAGGATAAATAATAATTAATTTAGTTACTTGTATTAATTTCAAGTAAGTTGACATACAGTATATTTCCATATAGACCAGTGTATAATACAGCATAGTATAGTGTATAGCATGCATATACTACACATGGATAATTAAGTTAGATATTGAGGCTTAAGTGGCACTTCATCGAAACAAGAAAAAACTGCATGTTTTCTAAAATGTATGTGTATACTTTCAGAAGATTTATATATGTGATCCTGGACCACAAAACCAGTCATAAGGGTCAATTTAAAAAAAAAAAAAAAATATTAGAAAATCGCCTTTAAAATTGTCCAAATTAAGTCCTTAGCAATGCGTATTACTAATCAAAAATTAAGTTTTGATATATTTACGATAGGAAATAAAAAAAATATCTTCATGGAACATGATCTTTACTTAATATCCTAATGTTTTTGGCATAAAAGAAAAATCGATCATTTTGGTTTTGTGGTCCAGGGTCACATATTATGTAAAGTTTTGTGTCTATTTTTTCCCTGTTTCTTTTTTCTTTGTTTTTGTACATTCTATTTGACCATTTCTGCTGTTAGAAGTAGGCTGTTCTAGCTGAGATTTTGCTCATACTTGCATCATTAATCATCAGGATTCCCACGACCAATGAAAACCTGGAAACAAATGTGATGTGCAGGCCAGGAAAAGTCAGGGAAACAAGTCTTTAAAGGTCATGGCACACTCTAAAAAAATGCTGGGTTAAATACAACCCAGTGCTGGGTAAAATAGGGACAGACCCAGCAATTGGGTTGTTTTGGCCCAGCTGGAAATTAATTTATCAAACAATGCTGGAGCCGTGTTTTTTAATAAAACACTACAATGCAAAAGCTGTGAAAACAAGTAACAACTGGCTGCACTGGAGCTTCAGAGGAAATGCTGGTCATTAGTCCAGAAGCCAGCATACAGTATCTCATTGTGGAGAGAATGAAAAGTGTATGTACCATTCCCGCTGGTGCAATAGTCAGTGTTTTTAAAGATACACCACCATTCAAAAGTTGATTTATTTATTTATAAAACCTTTATTCGGCCAGGACACATTAAATCGACCAAAAGTGACAGTAAAGACTTAAAATGTTACAGAAGATTTCTATTTCAAATAAATGCTGTGCTGTTTTGATGAAGTTTCTATTCTCCAAATGTCATGGTTTCCACCAAAATATTAAGCAGCACAACTGTTTCCAACATTAATAATAATAAATATTTATTGAGCAGCAAAGCAGCATATTAGAATGGTTTCTGAAGGATCATGTGACACTGAAGACTGGAGTAATAATGAAAATTCAGCTTTGCCATCACAGGAATATTAATATATATATATATATATATTTATATTAACTGTATTTTTGGTCAAATGAACATAGTCTTGGTGAGCATAAGAGATTTCAAACTTTTGAACTGTAGTGCAGGGTTGCCAGGTTTTCACAAGAAAACCCGCCAAATCGCTACCCAAAACTAGCCCATTGGTGTTTCGAGGGGGTCCCCAGTTCCGGGGGCTAAAATACACGTTTTTTTGGTGGGGTTCCCCTACTAAAATTCGCATTCTAGGGGATAGATATCATGTTATTGGAGTCACTTCAACCAGCGGACATGAAAAACAAACCGCGGCAACAGTTAAAGTAGCCCAAGTCCACGGGAAAACCACGGACTTGGCAACACTGCTGTAGTGTACAGTGTATGTCCACAGGAACCGAACTTTTGACCTTGCTGTTTGTAGTGAAATGCCAGTATACACCTACAAGGCTAATTTCTGCTTAGAATTTTTCTAAGCAGGATGCTGTATTTAGCAACATTTATGTCAAAGAAACGTTTATTATTACAGTATTTCCTAAAGTCCAAGCAAATTATATTAATGCAAATGATATATGCTTTACTGAATCTTGTAACTACAGTTTTTGCCCTCTTGTTTATTCTCTCTCTCTCTCTCTCTCTCTCTCTCTCTCTCTCTCTCTCTCTATCTCTTCTTCTGTTTCTCTATAGGTCCTTCTGCTTGGCTTGCTGGCTTTAATTCTCACAGTCATATTTATACTCAAACTCCGTTGCAGTGATAAAGGTATCTTAGTTTTCTACTTTTTTTTCTGGTCATGGTTTAAAGCTCCCCTTTTATAATCTTTCTCATATAATGGTGCATATAATACATAAACAGTATCTATTATCACCCTTTAATCCACTGTGTAATGGTTTTTGGTGTCATGAGCTTGGGAATGAAGCCTGTGTCATTATATCCACATATCATTCATACATGCTCTTTATTTTGTGTTTTCTAGTTACTAATAGCTGTAGAAACCGCTGCTTGTCCAAAAGTCGTGACTCTAACACGGTGTGCCACTGTGACACTGCGTGTGTGAATGAAGGCACCTGCTGTCTGGACTATGAAGAAGTGTGTGTGGAACCAAGTAAGTGACATTTCATGCATCCTGTGTGACCAAATCTGTTCAGATTCAATGTGAAGTCTCTGGTTTCATAACTGCATACAGTACATAACTTTAGACGTCAATGTGCTACTGAATGCTGATAAAGCATTCAAAATAAGAAAAAGTCATGACTTTTGTGAGGGGTTTTTTTGTCATTTTTGGAGCTTGGCAACCCTATCTACACTTAGTCATTCTGCTAAACTTCCTTTTTTATGTTCCACAAAAGAATGAAACTCATAACTCATGTCTTTCCAAACCCGTAAGACCTGCATTTATCTTCGGAACACAAATTAAGGTATTTCTGATGAAATCTGAATGAGAGCTTTCTGACCCTGCATAGACAGCAATGCAACTGACACGTTCAAGGCCCAGAAAGTTAGTAAGGACATCATTAAAATAGCCCATGTGACATCAGTGGTTCAGCTGTAATTTAATGAAGCTACGAGAATACTTTTTGTGTGCAAAGAAAACAAAAATAAGAACTTCATTTAACAGTTTCTTCTCTTCTGTGTCAGTTTTCACCACATGTTCACGAGAGTATCACGACGATGTGTGTGGTACTATTTTAAGAATGTCCTTACTACCTTTCTGGGCCTTGAACGTGTTAGTTGCGTTGTTGTCTATGCAGGGTCAGAAAGCTCTCGGATCATCAAAAATCACTTCATTTTTTCCCCAAAGATCAACAAAGGTCTTACAGGTTTGGAACAACATGAGGGTGAGTAATTAATGACAGAATTTAGATTTTTGGGTGAACTATCCCTTTAATATTAGGTGTGAACTCTCCATGATAATGTCATGGTGTTTTGTGTTTCGGTAGCCTGGAAACCAGCTGTGTTTGTGAATGTGTCTGAGATAGAAACAGAAAAGGAAAATGAAGTTGTATTCATAGTATGTGTACGGACACTGACCATTTATTCAGGGGTGTAACAGTCCAAAAAAGGCCTGCAAACATTGGACACAAGAATGTCTGTTTAAACCATCAACACCCACCTGTTGAAATCCCCTCAGTGAAGTGTTAGAGCTCTGTGGGTTTCTCCGAGTTTGGGTTTAAAGTCCCTCCCTGCAGTTTTTTCCCCTGATGTTTTGAATCAGCTCCATTTTCCAACACAGTAGCCGAATGTTCCTCCCTGTGGTGCCTGCCCTGTGCGCTGCATGTGTGGGATGGATGGATATTGCTTTGGTGAACTGCATGTAAAGGTTCAGTGGCTTTGGGTCTGCTGAGACAGACTCTTTTCCTGTCTCACTGTCTCCACCTGTCTCATTTTTTCACATGTATAATACTTTAGAACTTAGCTTTTTGTATCATACACACAAAACCCACAGACCTACATTCAGAATGTGCTTTGTTGCTTTATCTAACATCTTTGTCCTAGAATGTCGATATGTGTCAAGATGAGCGCTTCTACTGACTGAAAACACACATGTACATAAGCTTTATCTTGCCAGCAGATGCTGGACCTCAGTGTTTGTGGTTAAATGGTGGGTTCTTTGAAAATTCAGTTATCATTTTATTATTCTCATATTTTCCAAACTTATATGACTGTCTTTTGTCTGTGGAATATATTTTTTAAATCTTCCTCAGATCAGTCATGCTGACTTGCATTGTATGGACAGAAACAGTTGAAATTTTCAAATAATTTTTGGAGTTTCAGAAAACAGGACATTTTTAATATATGTTATATGTAATGTTTTGTTACAAAAGCATAACAACCAAAAATATTTTATGATAGAACTTTAATAGTAATAATATATCTTTAATAATAGTTAGAACTATATGATATAATATAATATAATATAATAAATTATTACAACTAAACTGCAGAATCTATGTCAAGGTTATTATAGTTAACTAAGAACTAAAAACGAAAATAAATTTTAACTGAATTAAAATAGAATAAAAAATGTAACTCGTTGCCAATACAATTTTTTAGAGTGTATACATAAAAAAACAAAAAACACAACACAATTACTAAAACTTTAACTAAAATTAAAATAAAAACAGAAAATATTCAAATAAAAAAAATTTAAAGTTATAATAGTATCTCAGTTATACTAGAATGACACTGATCCATGAACGGATGAATATTTTCATAATAACCTAAAGAATTATCATATAATTTAATGGTTGTGCATGAGATATTATTGATCATTCAGTGTTTCTGTGACTAACAATAAAGAGCTGACACAGTCTTGAGTAAATGGGTAAACTGTCCCTTTAAGAATCAGAAAGCCTTCCATTGACTTTCTACACATTTTTTTTTTTTTCAGTTGTCAGATTAGTTTTAAATGTTAAAAGTGCATGTAAAATATGCTGTATGTGCTACACTGATTTTGAAAGCACTTTTCTATACAGCTCTGAAGTGCTTTCATGATACCAAAATTTCAGCAGTTTATATCAACAATCTTGATCCTCTCAAATCTTCCCAGTCATCTCTATCCTGCTGTTTATCACGTCACTCGCTGTGTTCCAGGTCAGCGCTGGACGTGTTCTAAATTCCGTTGCGGTGAGGAGCGTTTGCTGAACAGCCTCTGCTCCTGTTCTGAAGACTGTGTGAAATTGGGTGACTGCTGCTCGAACTACAAGAGCATATGTAAAGGTACAAGACATGCTTTGCTCTGCATTCCATTCTCATCGAGTAGCTACACAACATGCTAGTTGTCATTTATGTTGTATAAATGTAAATAAAGACATTTTGGGTTGATACAATCTCATAAGGGTTGTATAAAATCCTCAAGCCGGTTAGGTTTTCATTTTAGCTTTGAACAGACATGTATCTGTTTCACTGAAAGGCTCATAAGCGTCTGTGAAGTTGTGATGGATCTGAAGGATTTGTCTTTGAAGTTATTTGGGCCTGGACTTCATCTCCCCTCTGCAGGATAGAGCGCAGTGAAGCGTCTCTACATGGTGTTTTCATAGCTGGTTGTTTTCGTTTTTTATTTTCACAAATGGTCTTCTGATTATTTCAGGTCACTTTTCGGGTGTGTTTGGACAGAATAATGTCCAAATAGTTATATAGTATCACTATTGTGTTAAACTAGTCATCACATGTTTACTCCAAAAAATAGGTTTATTTTTGAAATTCAGTTTCTGTATTGGATTTTAAAGTGTCCCTATTATGGGTAATGAAAGGTTCATATTTTGGTTTTGGGAGTCCCCAACAACAGGTTGACATGCATGCAAGATAAAATTTAGCTAAAATAACTAAAACTACAGCTGAAAAAAGATTAATAAAAAACTATATACATACACTCTAAAAAATGCTGGGTTAAATATAACCCAGCGCTGGGTTAAAAAGGGACGGTAATTTTCAAAAATCCATAATAGGGGCACTTTAAAGTCTTGCACTATTGCAATTTTCAGTTTTATTGTGCTGCTAAAAAGATAGAGTTTATGTAATGCATTTATATTGTCACAATATACAGTATATATAGTAAGCTGTCAAACTGGGAACCTGCTATTAAATAAGCATATTTCAAAGACAATAAAAGTCATTATGAAATTACATATAAAGATGATAAAGGGATAGTTCATCCAAAAATGAAAATTCTGTCATCTATAGACGTTAATGGCTACGAAAAGCTGTTTGGTTACCAGCATTCTTCAAAACATCTTCTTTTGTGTTCATCAGAATAATAATTTAAAAAAAATCATGCAGGTTTGGAACAACTTGAGGATGAGTAAATGATGTCTGAATTTTCATTTTTGGGTGAACTATGCCTTTAAGTTCTACTCAAGTGGGTCAAAAACAACAACGAAACACATTATAAATTGCATTTAAGTGTTTTACATGAACCAATTATATAGCATTACATTAAATAAACCAACTTAAAAATGCTACTCTAAAAAAAAGCATTTGTAAAATTGGACTCTTGACTTAAAACCTTTGGTTAATGAAATACAGCTCTTGTGACAACTTTATGTGTGACAACTAGCTCTGATTTCCACATTTTCTAAGCAGGATATTTGTGTGAGAGCAAAAGAAAAAAAAAGATTTGGCTGTAGTTGAAAGCACTGCATCTGCTCTTCGAATCCTCTGAAAACACAAATTGTTCACATATGATGTGAGTTAAACACAACAGGGAGTTAAGATTCCACATGTTGCCTGTGTTAACTCATAATTCCACTAGCTGTCTTACTTCAGTAACTCTTATGTACACAATCATAGCCATGTTTGTTCCTGCCGTTGCATTAGCGGCTGACAGCGAATTATTATCACTTCACTTGCAAAAAAGCAGCCTGGACTGTGTCGGTTGTTTGTATCATTAGAAGACTGTAATGTAGTCCCTGTATTTTTTTCCCAGTACTTTGCCTTTATTCCAGATTGATTACGTTTGAATGCATGTGTGGTGTTATTGTCTTATCAAGGCCAACATTTTCACCCTCTCCTGCGTGAAAACTGAACTGTTCCTCATCACCCTTTCATTTCTCTTTCTCACTGCTAACTCAATGGAAACTTTAGAAAATGCATCACTGAAAGAACAAATACACCTGGCCAGAGTTTCAAGTTACTATTAATACTTCCTTTCTCTTCCGTCTTTTCTTCACAGGTGAAAAACCTTGGCTGGAAGAGGACTGTGAAGACATCAGGACTCCTCAGTGTCCTGCTGGGTAACAACAGACTTATGTTTATAAATGAGATGGCTCTGTATCAAGATCTCAATCAGGTTAATATCATTAACTCAAAGCTTAGAAATTAGCATCTCCATATACAGAGTTCTGGCATGAAACTCTAGATGGCGCAGTCCTATAGGTCTAACTCAATCTGACCTAATGATCATTGACATTATCACATGGCACAGCTGATTGGTTCTCTCCTGTATCGGTAGCCAATGAGCTCGCTGCTCAACATTCAAATATATGATTAGCGCTTGCCGTAGCAGTTGCAGCTTGCTTCAGAAACCCTCCACCTTCCCCAGCTCCACCTGTATAGATCTGCTACGAGGTGATTAATGTATGCTATATGGGGGTTATTTCATGTATGTTATATTTGCAGCAGCAATATTTCTTACATGCTCACAGCAGCATGTTGTGGATGTATTGGCAGTAGCAAGTCTCGGTACTTGCACTGCCGCAGCAGCAGCAGTGTAGCAGATCTATTCCGCCAAGACCAAATACATTAACATTGTCATGTACATTACCATGCCAATCCCTCCGAGAGTTGTCATGACAGAACTATAGTTAATGAGGCTTTATAGGCACATTGCGTGTGTGTGTGTGTGTGTGTGTGTTGACAGTATATTGTTACCAACTCTTGGAATAAGTGACCTAGAAATAGTGTTAATTTCATATCATAACACTTCTTTGTTGTAAATTGTCAGCATCCTAAAACTTTCTGGGTCTTTCCGGGTTAAAAAGAGCTTTTAAATCACATGTGGACTTAGACTTTTAAATGGCACTGTATATAAAAGCATTATACAGTATACAAATACAGTATTTAGATGCACAGAGAGATGTTTAGGCATGTGTGTTTATGTCTGACTCTGGGTAAATGGACTGTGTGGCCAGTGTTGTTTTTTCCATTATCTATAATAAACGTACTCTGAAGTACATTCAGCTTTAGCTGTAATGGTATTCGCTGGCGTAAACACAAATAGACAACTTAATGAGCCATGTGCTTTAACTTTAAAACCATTTTTGCTACCATTGCATCTCATCAGAAAAATAGAAAGCTAAAACATTATGGGGAGCCATTCACCTTTACTGAAAATAATTTGGAAAATATAAAAGTAATATTCAGGAAAATTGCACATTCAATACACATTTTTATATTTTAACTTATTTTATTATAGTTTGAAATTGAATTGTGAGGTAATGTCTTTATAATGACACAATCTTTTTTTTTTTTTCAATTTTGAAGGAAATGGTTAAGGATGTTTGATGGGTCTTTTAGAAGATGTGTGAATGCTAATGTAACTTTACAGTGTTGTCATTATAGAGTCAGATATCTACAATAAGACAAATTATATTAGAGGGATATTGCGCCTTTTGTAATATTTTGGCACTTAAAGTCTGTTAACCAGTTAAAAGCTGTATGATCAAAATGCAAAATACAAATATATTTTGTAACATCAAAAGTTTGCTTATTAGGAGTTTTAGCAGTTATTCAAGTCTCTGAAGTAATGCATGTTCTTCCCTGTTATTCTGGTTGTTGAATTTGGCATTTTGGGTGTGACAGGTTGTTTTGGGCTTTGCCTGTAGACATACATCAACATCTACTGTTCTCTGGGTGAAACCCTGCTCAAGTTTCCTATTGCTATTTTTACCCATTGGTAGTTTAACTGAAAAAGGAAGCTACTTTATTCCATGGCATGACAAGCATTTCTAAAAACGTCATCTTTTTCCTGTAGGTTTTCTGAACCGCCGCTACTTCTGGTGTCTCTGGATGGATTCAGGGCAGAATACATGGAGGCCTACAGCAGCCTGCTTCCTGTCATCAACAAACTCAGTATGTCAGAGTCTGACCCTGACTATAGAATTATGTCTGCCATATCTGTTAGGGGCATCTAATGAACATTTTTAATTTACTTGTGTTTAAAATGTCTTAACATTTGTCAGTCTGATAAATGAATGAGTCAAATTCATCTTATAAGAGAATTGGTGTATTAAAACCAACTGATGCATCTCTTCATAAAGTGAAGTAGGATGAATTATAATACTCATTGGTCTAAACCAGTGGTTCTCAACTCTTTTTCACTCCAAGGCCCCCCATTGTCCACAACAATATTCCAATATTTCCCCCATGTAGACTAATAGGTTTCTTCTGGTACATCTGCTGTAATAATACAGTTTTTTTTTAAATGACCAAAACTAGTAGCATCCATATATTAAAACAAGTCATAATAATTCATAAGTATAATTAAGAGTAAAATAATTATGTTTTAGAATTCCAGAGATTTTAAGAGCCGAATTAAATGACCAAAACTAGTAGCATCCATATATTAAAACAAGTCATAATAATTCATAAGTATAATTAAGATTAAAATAATTATGTTTTAGAATTCCAGAGATTTTAAGAGCCGAATGTCCTTCAGGAATCTTACTCTTTTACTTAACAAATTTCTATGAATTTTCTAGTCGTTCATGATTTACTGGATAAGTACTTTTATTGTTTACTCACAAATTTTACCAGATAAAATGTTGTTGAGTTTGACATAACTAGAAAATGTAACTATTAAAACTATTAAATTATACATAACTATTAAAATCCCAATTGCATTTAAGATCTTATTCATTTGCATGTCTTTTCCAGGTCTAGAAGTCATATTTTTTAAATTAGGCTACTTCATATATCCAGATTTTTTCTGTTTTTTGGTTGTTTTGTCTTATTTAAAAAAAGTCATCCTGAATCCCCCTTGAAAGGTTTGTGAGGTGGGCCCCCTGGTTGTGAACTACTGGTATAAATTAAAGGGGTCATATGACGTTGCTAAAAAGAACATTATGTTGTGTATTTGGTGTAATGAAATGTGTTTATGCGGTTTAAGGTTCAAAAAACACATTATTTTCCACATAATGTACATTATTGTTGCTCCTCTATGCCCCGCCTTTCTGAAATGGGTCGATTTTTACAAAGCTCATCGGTCTGAAAAGCAAGGTGTGCTCTGATTGGCCAGCTATCCAGTGTGTAGTGGGGACATAATTACTGATTGTAATGACTTATACTGTGTTTTTACGCTTTGCTTTGCGTATTGCGCCGCGTAAACATAAAACCATGTCTGCATTTGTGATCGGAGAAATGCCAAACAATAAGTGCTACTCTACACTGCTCAAACTCGCGTTTGAATCATCAGTGGCAAATTCTTTAAATATAAAAAAATGTACTTACAGGCTGTGAGTCAGAAGCGCCAGACTGTCCTTGCAAAGTTGGAACTGCACCACTTTATAGAACAGCCTTTGAGCACAGACCCATTGTAGGCTACTCTGCAGGTTCAGGAAACAGTCCTCCATAAAATGCGTCTCACACTGCGGGCTAGAGTGAGCGGTGGCGGGCTTGCGGCAACCACATGTGACGACCCCGGGCTGGACTCCACTTCGTCCACGGTGAAAGACTTTACAGATCTTCTTTATTCACCAAGAGCTTGTAACACTTCAAAGAGAAAGGAAAACTTGAAATCGCATCATATGACCCCTTTAATGTAAAAAAAAAAAAAACATTTAAGATTCGGTGGTTAATCTCATCTTGTTTCTTCAGGGAAATGTGGGACCTCCACACCGTATATGCGACCTGCTTACCCCACCAAGACCTTCCCAAATCATTACACCATAGTGACAGTAAGTGACAGGTAGAAATTAAACCACAATTGCTCTTAGAGAACTACATATACATGTCAAAATGTAATGGCCATTATCATTTTTGCTTTCTTTAGTAGACAGTTTTTATGTGTTTGATTTGAATCACTTACTGTTTACATCAGTGAGGATAAGACTATCAGTTTTATTAAGTGTTAATTTTGGACTCTGGTTTTAGAGTAACCGTCCAGTTTATTATTTGAACCTCAGTAGTTGTTAGTTGTGCCACCCCTTTTTTTTGCAGTTCCTATAAAAAAAGGCTGACTAAGTCAATTAATGTCAGTTCCAATGTTAATTTGCTTTGCTCCTGTTTTCTAATGAGTGAAATAATGCTTTTTTATGTTTTTTTTTTTTGCAGGGTCTGTATCCAGAATCACATGGAATTGTGGACAATAAGATGTATGATGTCACTCGCAATGCCTCTTTCAGTTTGAAAATTGATGAGAAATTCAACCCTGCATGGTACCAGGGTGAACCAGTGAGTATTTAACACATCTGCAATAATCTAGATTTGTGATGATCTGCTTAATAAAGATTAGAGAATTTTCTTGTGAAATCTTTAAACTCAATTTACATCCCCTTAGTTTGAATTTATTTATTTGTTTAGAAAGGTCTGGATAAGTAACTTAACTGATAACTAATTTGTTAGGATTTAGTGGGTAAATGTTAAGATAATTAACCATGGTTAATTATCATATTCTAATGGAAATAGAGTCATTACCATTAACAGTTACCTACTGTACATGACATTAAAATAATTAATTCACAACAAGATAAAAGCACTGCTTGTCGGGGTTCCAAACACTCTTTTTATTCTACTGTTAGTATTGGGATCCTGTGTAACTCTTCCTGTTTTTGCTTCTTGTGGGTTATGTTTCTGGAGTATAATGTCAGGAGCGTGTAATTTCTGTTTATAATCCTGGTGTGGGATCCTACGCTCCAGAAACAAAACCCACTAGGCCTCAGTTTATGTCTGTTCGCCATGTGTTCCTCTCACCCCGCTTTCTTGTTTGCCCTGTCACTACAGTAGTTCATTTGCCACACTTGTCAGATGTGATTTTCTTCCCATTTTATTACCTGTGTTCTCTGTACTGTGCTTGTTGGTTTTGGGTGGGTTCTCCTGTGCTCCACTCTGTGCCGTTTTGGTCCTGTCTGTATGTGAGCACTGTTTCTGGTTGTTTCCACCAGATTCTTCTGGCACAGTGTTTGCGGTCATGTCCTATTCTGTCCTGAATAGGCTCAAACCTTAAATTTTCTAATGTAATATCAATCAAAAATATTTATTTTCCCAAAAACAAAACATTCATGCAAAGATTATTTATTATAAAGACCATATTTAATCAATGTCATTGACATGCATACATATGCACCAACATCCACAACACATATGTTGGTGACCTTATGCATTTCAAGAGTTTGTCGGCCCAAAGCAAACTTGGAGTCTTCAGCTCATTATGTTCATGCAAACAGATATTGGTCCAAAGCATGGAATGCTGGTGTTTCCAGAAGGCTTCTTACTTACTAGCAAGGTTTCCTTGATCAATCAGAAAGACCATGCTGGTTGACTATCATTTCTAGCAGTCAGACCAGCATTAGCCAACCTAAACCAACTTGGAAATTCATGAACGCTGGAAATCTTTGTTAACCCAATGAAAAATATGCTGTTCAATTTCGGAAATATCACAGTCGGTCTTGGACTGTGACGACATAGTTTTTAAATAATACATCCTTACAAATTTATGTTTGATGACCCATCAATTTCACCTTAGCTATTATTGATGTATTTTAAGAGATCATCAACCCAGAACAAATTTTGAGTCTTTAGCGCATTATGTAAACAGGAGTTGGTGCCCAGCATGGGATTCTGGTTTCTCCAGTAGGCTTTTTAGCTAGAACAATCAAGGTTTTCTTAATGATAAGCTTCATCAGAAAGACAAATGCTGGTTGACCATCATGTTTAGCAGTCAGACCAGCATTAGCCAACCTAAACAAACCTGGACATCCATGAATGCGTCCAGAAATCTTAGCAAATCCAATGCAAAATATGTTTTTCAGAAACGTCACAGTTGGACTGTGACCATCATAGTTCAATAACACACCCTTTCAGATTCCTAGTTGATGAGTCTCACATAGGCACTGTTTGAAGAGTCCTGATGTTCTTTTGGATCACAATCTTCTGGCCAAGGGTCAGAAATATCTGGTACCTGATGGAGCAGCTCCTGCTGTTGGTGATGTTTCATCATATACTCATCTGAACTGCCAGAATTCAGAGTGATGGAGTGGAATGTTCTTCAAGTTCATGTGGTAGAATTCATCCAGATTTCTTGCTGTATCAGGGTGGAACGAAAGGAAAGTCACACCCATCTTCTGGCAGCACCCTTATCATGTTTCTCTTTAGAGTTTGCCAAGATAGCTGTTTGGGGTTAATGCAGATGTTTAACTCAAATGATGCAACCAAATTAAGAGCATACGTGGATTAAAACTTACAAGTGATTACTAAACCCTTAGTGTGAACTTTACATCCTAATTTAAGAAGGACCTTTCAAATGACTTGTGCAAAACGCAACATATAGTGGTGACCTTACCATCTGTTTCAGACTTGGAATCTTCTGCGCATGTAAGCAGATGTTGTCCCCACCCCAGTATGAGATGCTGGTTTCTCCAGCAGGCTTATTAACTAGCTTGAACCAGCAAGGGTTCCTTGATCAACCAGCTTCATCAGAAAGACCATGCTGATTGACCATCATTTCTACCAGTCAGACCAGCCAACCTAGATCAACATGGGAATTCATGAATGCTTCCAGGAATCTATGGAAATCCAATACATTTGGGCTTAGATAATTCTTCAATAACACATTACTTCAAATTCCTGTTTTATGACCCATCATTGAGCCTAAAGCTTTGTTTAAAGAGGCATGATGTTCTTTTTGATCACACTATTTTGGACAAGGGTCAAAACCCTCTTGAACCTGATGGAGCCATTGCATTATCTTACATTTGGTCTTTTATTGTCATGATAAAGTGTGATGGAGTGGAACTTCTTCTACCACAAGTTTTTTTTGTGGTATAATTCTTCCAATTTGCTTTCTATATGAGGGAGGGACAAGAGGAAATTCCAGTACCAACCTGATCATCTTTCTTTTCAGCGTTCACCAAGATATCTGTTTGGCGGTAATGAAGGGTGGTGAAGAGATGTTTTACTCAAATGGCGCAACTAAATTAAGAGCATACTAGGATTAAAACTAACAAGTAATTACTAAGCCCCTAGTGTGAACTTCACATCCTAATTTAAGAAGGACCTTGTGCAACCTGCATTGGCATGCATGCATTGGGATTAACATCCAAAATGCAACATACACTGAACAAAATTATAAACGCAACACTTTTGTTTTTGCCCCCATTTTTCATGAGCTGAACTCAAAGGTCTAAGACTTTTTCTATGTACACAAAAGGCCTATTTCTCTCAAATATTGTTCACAAATCTGTCTAAATCTGTGTTAGTGAGCACTTCTCCCTATTGTTGTGCCATTCATCCACGACCATCACCTCATGTTGCAGCATGATAATGCACGGCCCTATGTTGCAAGGATCTGTACACAATTCCTGGAAGCTGAAAGCATCCCAGTTCTTGCATGGCCATTATTCTCACCGGACATGTCACCCATTGAGCATGTTTGGGATGCTCTGGATCGGCGTATACAACAGCGTGTTCCAGTTCCTGCCAATATCCAGCAACTTCGCACAGCCATTGAAGAGGAGTGGACCAACATTCCACAGGCCACAATCAACAACCTGATCAACTCTATGCGAAGGAGATGTGTTGCACTGCGTGAGGCAAATGGTGGTCACACCAGATACTGACTGGTTTTCGGACCACCCAATACAGTAAAACTGCACATTTTAGAGTGGCCTTTTATTGTGGCCAGCCTAAGGCACACCTGTGCAATAATCATGCTGTCTAATTAGCATCTTGATATGCCACACCTGTGAGGTGGATGGATTATCTCGGCAAAAGAGAAGTGCTCACTAACACAGATTTAGACAGATTTGTGAACAATATTTGAGAGAAATAGGCCTTTTGTGTACATAGAAAAAGTCTTAGATCTTTGAGTTCAGCTCATGAAAAATGGGGGCAAAAACAAAAGTGTTGCGTTTATAATTTTGTTCAGTGTATGTTGGTGACCTTAACGTCTATTGCAAAGTTGGAGTCTTTAGCACATTGTTTATGTAAACAGATGTTGGTCTCCAACATGAAATGCTGGTTTCTCCAGCAGGCTTCTTAACTAGCTTGAACTAGCAAGGTTTCCATGACCAGCCAACCTTTCAAATTGGGAATTCACGAATGCTTCCAGGAATCTTTGGAAAGCCAATGCAATTGGGCTTAGATTGTTACTGTCATAATTCTTTAATAACAGATTACATTTACATTTATTCATTTAGCAGATGCTTTTATCCAAAGCGACTTACAATTGGACAGATCCCTTCAAATTACTGTTTAATGACCCATCCTTGAGCCTCAGGAAAGCACTGCTTGAAGAGGACTGACGTTGCTGATCCTGTGGAACCTGATGGAATTGCATAGACTTGCATTTGGTTTTGTTGTCATTATGAGTGGAATTTTCTTCCCAACTGTTTTCTGTATCAGGACAGCACAAGAAGAAAGTCTGGTACCACCCGTGTCATTCTCTTCAGAGTTCAGCAAGACAGCTGTTTTGGGGAAAACACAGATGTTTAACACTCGGCAACCTATTCACATTTGCAATCAAATGGGCAGCAAATGGTCAAAAAATGCCAGAGCACAAGGTGTTTCTGTGGTGGGCAGCTGAAATCGTGAACATCCAAGATCTATAGCAAAGTTTTTGTTTTCCTGATTAACTTTCCTATATCCTAGTTGGTAATGGACAGGGTTTTTGAAGTTCCTCAAACTCCTCACTGGGAACACAGGTTCCTTCTGCGCCATGCCCTTTTGCTTTGCCCCGTCCATGGTGCTGAAATGATGCAGCGTAAAACCTTCTAGTAGGAGATACTGGGATTTGCTTTTGAAAAGAGGCAGCAGTTGGCATTTGAGACTCAAACTAATGGTGATTTAAATGTGTGAGGCATTCACATTCAGTGGTAGCTGTGTTACATTGAAGACTAGGTTAGTATCCATCCTATTGGCTTTTACAGTAATTACAGAGACTGACTTTGTGGTTTCTGACTTTAGGCGTGCATGCTTGAATTTTTAGAGCTTCTTCATGACCATATGTACTAGCGACCATTTTAGTTTCTAATTTTGTCCTTACAAATGAACTGTGATTGAATGAAACAAGATTGCCAGTTCCTCAACCCAGGGTGATTATAGTTAACAAAAACTCAAAACATAATAATATCTTCATTACTTGAAATAAAATACATAATAATAAAATATATATATATCACTGTCTTTGTACTGAGGCTCTCTCTCTCATCTCGTTTTTTGCAGGTGTTTGCTTTTGTAATTGTTAGTGGTGTTTTATCTTTTGTGCGCTGCATCTTTTGTCAGCACTTTCATTCAGTTGTTCCTGTGATTGTCTTTAGGTTTGGCTCACAGCCATGAAAAACAAACTAAAAACAGCTACTTTCTTCTGGCCTGGATCCGATGTGAAAGTCAATGGACATTTCCCAGATTACTGGGTGAAGTATGACAGGTACTTGGATATTTACAATACCGGATTTAAAAAAAAAAACTGTTATTAACTGGATTTTAGGGTTGATTTAAGGGTTGTGGGGACTATAATTCACATCTAAAACTAGCTATTAAGAGCAACACTTCATATTACACTAAATACAAAAGTTTGCCCCAAAGTTTGAAGCAGGTTACTTAATGGCTCTGAATATGGGCTTTTACTGAATTCAATAGAAGATATAAGTGATTTTAGAAACAGACATAAAAAATTAAGTCAAATTTTGAGCCAACAAACTAGTTCAAATTTGTCTTTCTTTAGGAACATCCCCTTTGAAAAGAGGGTGGCAAAAATCTTTGAATGGTTGCATTTACCTGAAGGAGAAAGGTAATGCTTTTTTAAAATGTATATTTACTTATTTATTTTGGTTTGATTCTGCCTACACTGTAAAAACGGTAACTTGCAATTGTTAAGGTAAAGAGCTATTTCTACCTTATTTAGCTCATAAAAATGTGTAAATTAATGTATTCAGGTTGATTAATTGACGTTAAATACTATTTTTGACTTGAATACTGTAAGTTAATTTAGATGTTATTTTTTAATTTACAGTATATTCACTCTGTTTTAGGCCAGACTTTTACACCTTATATTTCGAAGAGCCTGATTCTGCTGGTCATCGACATGGACCAATGAGTAGCCAGGTAAACTGAAGACAAACCACATGTGGAAATAATTGACAAACTTCAATGTCAGTTTAGTTTGGGGGCAAATATCTGATTTAGGATATGAAACATTAAATGAACACAATCATTGTTATTTTTTTTTGTTTTGGGTGTTAGCACTCTTAAACTGTTCACAATCAGTATGAATTCCCCTGCTTTGGATTCTACTGATGAAATGTTTGCGTTTCAAATCATGACGGATGTTTGCATTGCAGGTCATTGAGGCTTTACTGAATGTCGACAGGCTTCTTGGGATGTTGATGGATGGTCTTGAGGAAAGACAGCTGCACAGATGTGTTAACCTGGTTCTGGTCTCTGACCACGGTGAGTACTGTGTGTCTTTCCTATACACTTTAATTTGACCAAATCTGACTTTAAACGTGTATTGGCAACTGCTACAGTATAGTTTTATTTCAGGTTAAGTCAAATTTATTTGTATAGCACTTTTCACAATACACAGTGGGTCTCATTCACTAATAACTGTGTGGATTATTTTGTATCTGTATGCACAGGAGAATTCTCACGAAAAACCCACTCCTAATTCACAACACGTTCGTATGTACATGAATTTGTCATTAATCGTTCTGATTGTAGTGAATTTGGAGTATTCTAAATGAGTGGTTGCGTGCACGAGGTTAGTCATTTGCATAAAACATGCCCAAACCATCTCCATATAAGGGCTTTCGGCACACGCTTTCCTTGCAGCCTTTCATCACTCTAGTCAAACGTGCCACTGTTTGCAGACGCGCTTTCGCATACAGAAGCTTGTTTCCGACACAGAACAAAACATCTGAAAAAAATAATTGCCAGTTTTCGCAATTCTGACTTGTAAGATGTAAACTCGCAATTGTGAGGTAAAAAGTCCTCTTCACTTTTTATTAGAAGTTCGTAAATTTAGAATACATTTTTATTACGTCATTTTTGGTGAATCGTGATTTGCTCTTCAAATTTGTACACACGTTCGTACACACATTTCACGCACAAATTTGTACGTACGCATGATTAGTGAATGAGACCCACTGTTTTTAAAGCAGCTTTACAGAAATTAATGAATGTTTGTGTATAATATCTTCATGCTTTATATAACATAGTTTACATTTTGCAACGATACAAGCAATTCAAACAGTTGATATTTGCTGTATAGTTCATATTGCCCTACAGTATGTCAGTCAGTATACTGTATGTATGCGGATACAATTATACAGTATAGCCAATTTAAAGAGATGACTGCTAATATAGTCACATTTTGAAACAAAATATAAAATCAGGCAGTTGAGATTTGCTTTATGAAATGTATTGCATTGCATACCTGATAGTGAACTGTATAAAGTTGGATATAATATATATTCAACTTTACATATAATCTAAAAATATAAATGGAGTACATTTAGAAAATCACAAAATATTCAATGAATAAAGTGATTACTGACATTTCATATTTTTTGGGGAATTTCAAGTATTTTATTATTATTATTATTATTTTTAAATCTGATATGAACTTTTACCAAATGTCACAGTCAGTCAGACATTAGTAAATATTTATTGGACTTATGTATTCCCAGTTTTTATGAAAACAATTGCAGTCTGCAGTCCAATAACAGAAGTATTAAATCTGGCCATGTTTGAGCCACTGTAATATTAGAAGATAAACTTTTTGTTGGAAATTTTGGATTAGCCAGTGTTCCATAAAGCATTTATCTATTATCAATTTAAAGAGAAAAGTACTTCCGTGACTTGAAATAGCATAATAAAACAATTTAAACTAATTTTATTGCAGCCAGTTGCCTTATTTGATTTCATTTAGTTTAAATTGCTGTAGTAAAATAACTAAAACAAACTGAAAAAACAAGAACAGACATTTTAATTAAAAATTAATAAAAATGACATACAACACAAATACTGAAACTTAAAGGTCCCTTGAAGTGCCTTGAAACATGCAGCATTATTCTATGTGGTGACGTAATTTCAACTGAAACAGGAAGAGAGGGCGGGACATATTGAGCAGCCCCGCCCCCTTTTAAAATTAGCTAATAGCGTTTAGTTTATATCTGCTCGGGCCAGAGCCGTTGAGCTCGGTAAAGCCGTATTTGACAGCCACAGTCTAATAGATTACCCCTTAGATTCAATATGAAACTCTTAGTAAAACAAAATAGTGGTCATAATCATGCTGAGGCTGTGTAGTTTTAAAAGTTTTTAATATATGCAGACTCGCGCATATGATCCGCTCCGTGCGATCGCGTCTCTGGACCGGAGCCAAAGTCCGGATCAGACTGTGTGTGCTGCCGCGGTTCGCGTGAAACAATGTGAAACCAGACCTCATTTGCACCAATCAAAAGCATATTTACACTGTCTGAATCGTTCCCTATCACCTACATTGTGCACTTCGAGCCATTCACCGTACAGGAAATACTACACTGTGCAGGAAATACTACACTCTGAACAAGCGACCGATCTTAGCCGCAGCTTCAGCGTCTGTTTTATAGTGTAGGGGGCGGGCGCTTCAGCTTCTAGAGAGCGTTTGATTGGTCAGAAGATTTGATGAGAAGATGAAGTACGATGTGACGTCAAAAAAATCATTGACATTGAGCCGTTTTGGCGGAAGTGACGAACTGCAAGCTTTGAATGCTTATATCTTATAAATGCGAATTTTGTCACTGTTTTGGAGCACACTGCCTTATAGATAACCTTAAGACTAACATATTGATACTAACACCCTGCAAACTTTAATTTTGATTTCATGGGGACTTTAAAAAGTAAAATAAAAACAGAAAGTATAAAAATAATAACTAATTAAAAACGATAATAGTATCTCAATGATACGAAAATAACACCGGTTCCCACCTATCTGGGTGGGCACAGAAGTTCTTGAGCAGTGACATCTGCTTGACGTGTGTCTTCACTTGTAATTGGGGCAAATTAAAGGCGTGTGGGATTGCACATGTGTCTCCTGAGCTTGGAGTACGCCATGAGGCCTGCTAGCATGCTAATTTTGACTCTTGGGTTTTTTATTGTCTGTGCCGCTCTGCCTTTGTGGTTGGAGTGATTGTGAATACATATTGAGCTTGTATGTTTTTAACTTCTGTTGCATCATTGATGTTTAATTAGTACTCGCTCAAGAATATAATGAAAGACTTGGAGGCTGTAAGCCTTGCTGTCAGTGAATTATATGCTTTTTTGACACTTCAGTGAGAGGAAAAAAAGTTGAATGTTATAATCTACTGTGAATTAATACAGTGAGAACATCACTTGGACTTAATGTTTTTGATTCATTACCCAAAGATGTACAGTACTCACTTATTTTACTTAGAAAGAAAGAATTCATTCTGGTTTGGGTGAGTAAATCATGAGAGAATTGTTTGGGTGAACCATTCCTTTAAGCACAACTGAATGAGCAATCTGTGAAATATAGTTCATTTTGAACACTTGATTTGCAGGGATGGAAGAAGCGTCATGCAAGAAAGCTGCGTATGTCTCGGACTATCTGGAAAACATCGATGACATCATTGTCATCCAGGGTCCTGCAGCGAGAGTCCGTCCCAAACGTTTGCCTGATGAATTCTTCTCCTGTAAGCGAACAGATTTGACCCACCACACATGTCTTTGTATTTGAGGGTTTCTCCAACTATAGACACTTTTGTGTCACAGCAGTTGATTTTTATTTATTAAAACTAGCAGGTTTATGGTATAAAGGTTGCATTAGCTATAAAATGGCTTATGGTTAATTTTTGCTGGTTTTCATATATCAACGATATCATATATCATATAATATATATCATATAACGATATATTAGCTGGTTTTCAATATCTCTTGAAACATGTCAATATCTACGGAGCCCCGCACATGGCATGCAGGAAAAAAATAGTATGCTAAATTGTGTGCACGATTTACTAATTTGTTCCCTCGATTTGCTAATTCGTTCCCTCGATTTATAAATTTTGCACACGATTTACTAATTCGTTCCCTCGATTTGTTAATTCGTTCCCTCGATTTATAAATTGTGCACACGATTTCGATTTGCTAATTTGTTTCCTCGATTTATAAATTGTGCACACGATTTACTGATTCGTTCCCTCGATTTGCTAATTCGTTTCCTCGATTTATAAATTGTGCACACGATTTACTAATTCGTTCCCTCGATTTGCTAATTCGTTTCCTCGATTTATAAATTGTGCACACGATTTACTAATTCGTTCCCTCGATTTGCTAATTCGTTTCCTCGATTTATAAATTGTGCACACGATTTACTAATTCGTTCACTCGATTTGCTAATTCGTTTCCTCGATTTGCTAATTCGTTCCCTCGATTTATAAATTGTGCACACGATTTACTAATTCGTTCCCTCGATTTATATTTGTTCCCTCGATTTATAAATTGTGTGCATGATTTACTATTTCGTTCTCTCGATTTATAAATTGTGCACACGATTTACTAATTCTTCCCTCGATTTGCTAATTCGTTTCCTCGATTTATAAATTGTAAACACGATTTGCTAATTCGTTCCCTCGATTTGCTAATTCGTTTCCTCGATTTATAAATTGTGCACACGATTTACTAATTCGTTCCCTCGATTTGCTAATTCGTTCCCTCGATTTGCTAATTCGTTTCCTTGATTTGCTAATTCGTTCCCTCGATTTACTAATTCGTTCCCTCGATTTATAAATTGTGCACACGATTTACTAATTCGTTCCCTCGATTTGCTAATTGTTCCCTCGATGTATAAATTGTGCACACGATTTACTAATTCGTTCCCTCGATTTGCTAATTATTCCCTCGATTTATAAATTGTGCGCACGATTTACTAATTTGTTCCCTCGATTTGCTAATTGTTCCCTCGATTTATAAATTGTGCGCACGATTTACTAATTCGTTCCCTCGATTTGCTAATTATTCCCTCGATTTATAAATTGTGCGCACGATTTACTAATTTGTTCCCTCGATTTGCTAATTCGTTCCCTCGATTTATAAATTGAGAGAACGAATTAGTAAATTGTGCGCACGATTTAGCAAATCGAGGGAACGAATTAGCAAATTGAGGGAATGAAATAGTAATCGTGTGCACGTTTTAGTACATCGAGGGAACAAATTAGTAAATTGTGCGCTCGATTTATTTATTTTTTCTTGCATGTCATGTGCGGGGCTCCGTAAATATCTGTGTAATGTGACATGAATTTATATACATTTTTACGCAAATTTCAGCCAATTTCCACTGTGACCAACAATTTTGTTCCTAGTGAAAAACTTGGGGTGAAATATGATGAAAAGTTTGGGGTCAATAAGATCTTTTTTTAATGAATTAAAATAAATAAACCAGCAAGGATCTATTAAAATGATCAATAGTGACGGTAAAAATGTAAATTTTTGCAGATAAATTCTGCTGCAAATGCTGTTCTTTTTAAGGTGCATAATTGTTTTCAGCATTGATAAAAAAAAATTAATAATAATGTGTTTTTGAGCAGCAAATCAGCATATTAGAATGATTTCTGACTCGATTTGTTAATTCGTTCCCTCAATTTATAAATTGTGCACACGATTTACTAATTCGTTTACTCGATTTATAAATTGTGCACACGATTTACTAATTCGTTCCCTCGATTTACTAATTCGTTCCCTCGATTTGCTACTTCTTCCCTCGATTTATAAATTGTGCGCACGATTTACTAATTTGTTCCCTCGATTTGCTAATTCGTTCCCTCGATTTATAAATCGAGAGAACGAATTAGTAAATTATGCGCACGATTTAGCAAATCGAGGGAACGAATTAGCAAATTGAGGGAATGAAATAGTAATCGTGTGCACGTTTTAGTACATCGAGGGAACAAATTAGTAAATTGTGCGCTCGATTTATTTATTTTTTCTTGCATGTCATGTGCGGGGCTCCGTAAATATCTGTGTAATGTGACATGAATTTATATACATTTTTACGCAAATTTCAGCCAATTTCCACTGTGACCAACAATTTTGTTCCTAGTGAAAAACTTGGGGTGAAATATGATGAAAAGTTTGGGGTCAATAAGATCTTTTTTTAATGAATTAAAATAAATAAACCAGCAAGGATCTATTAAAATGATCAATAGTGACGGTAAAAATGTAAATTTTTGCAGATAAATTCTGCTGCAAATGCTGTTCTTTTTAAGGTGCATAATTGTTTTCAGCATTGATAAAAAAAAATTAATAATAATGTGTTTTTGAGCAGCAAATCAGCATATTAGAATGATTTCTGAAGGATCATGTGACACTCAAAACTGGAGTAATGAAGCTTTGCATCACAGGAATAAATTACATTTAAAATATATATATTAAAAAAAATTATAATAATATTTTACAACTGGTCTAAAGTGACTATAGTTGAAGAAACACCCATTTATAAAAAGTGTTTTGTTCATTAAATGTAAGTCAAACAATGCATCTCTTCTCTTTCCCTGTATTCATCTGGCAGTTGATTATGAAGGTCTGGTGAAGAATATTTCGGTACGACCCTGTCACAACATCCCCATACCTCAATTACAGACCATATCTTCCACTTAATCATGTTGAAATCTTTATTCTGTCCTTTTTTCTTTCTGTGTTTGAAGTGCAGAGAACCTGATCAGCCGATGAGGCCGTATCTGAAGGAGCATCTGCCCAAACGGCTTCACTTTGCCAGTAACATCCGAATAGAGAGAGCACATCTCTACATGCAGCCCGGCTGGCAAGCAGCACTGTGAGTTTGAGCTTTGGGACGCCACATCTGATGCTTGTCGTGTCAAAATGAGTGCTCAAAAAATAAAATTGGTCTAAATTTAGGATTTATGTATTTGAATTGCATATAAAATGTCTATCCATTTGGATTATGCAGTTTTAAAATAAACTAATAAACTTAATGTAATTCATATTTGTCAGTCATACATATAAATGAAACAAACTGAATGTGTTTTAAATACACAATAACCAAGTTTATATATTTATTATCAATTTCTTTCAATCTCATACATTTTAACTAACTGAATATTTCTGTTAATTTTATAGCTAGCCAAATTTTAACCATGTTCATATTTGTTACTGAAAAAAAAAATGGATGTATTCTGATTCTAATTAGAATAAATGCATTTTGAGAAAAAAATTATGTCAAAATCAAATTGCTGCTAATAGATGATAAGGTAACACTTTATTTTAAGGTGTCCTCGTTACACACATTACATTTAATTACTATTATAATAACAATAAATTATGCATAATTACATGGTCGTAACCCTAAACCAAACCCTAATATTAACCCAAAGCATATAGTAAGTAGGCTACATGTAGTTAATTAATATTACCCAGTACTTAAATGTATAATTACATTGTAACAAGGATACCTTAAAATAAAGGGTTACACTTTATTTTAAGGTGTCCTTGTTACAATGTAAATATACATTTAAGTACTGAGTAATATTAATTAACCACATGTACTTACTGTATGGTTCGGGTTAGGATTAGGGTTTGGCTTTGGGTTACTTGCTTGTAATTATGCATAATTTATTGTTATAACAATAGTAAGTACATGTAACATGTGTAACAAGGACATCTTAAAATAAAGTGTTACCAAATAAAGTGTAACCGATGATAATATATTAGAATTAAAAAAATAATATGCATCACATTAATTTTAAGATTTGAAGTACACTACAAGTGCACATTCAATACGAAGCGCGTTTCTTTTAATAAGGTTGAGTAACTGCTGTTGAGATAAATGGGAATTTCACCTTTGTCCTAAATGTGCTGCTGATTGCAGCCATGTTCACACAATGTGTATCACTCATAAAAAGTTTCTAAATCTAGCAACATACAGTATACTAACGCCAAATTGTCAGCCTTCGCATAGGATTGTGAGGTCTTGAGCTCATATTGGTTTAAATCCAAGAGAAGTCTTGTGGGAAATTGTGCAGATCAATGAGAGTCTTTTTTTTTCAGTCACCATCTCTGTCATTCACAATCACTGCCAAAGACTTAATGACCCACTTCGAAGCAAAGTGGCCATCATTGGCAGCTTATTGTCTGACACCACTGTTGGGAAGTTACATAGTTAGTGACGCCACTAACTTATCTACATTTTTCCAGTGGGTGGCAAAAAAAAAAAAAAACTGAGGTCATAATCAAACACATCCGTATAATAATCCATTGTTGTTATAGAACCAAGTCATTTTAATTTCAGTGAGTCACTTTGTTAAATGAACCCATTCAGAATTCATTCACCCAAGATTTTACATCATTGTTTTGGTAGCACTCCAACTACAGCATGATTGCAAGTGTGAACTTGCTTTTGTATGACAGTTCAATAAACAAGAAATTTTGGTTACTTTAGTTACTGTCTGTTTCCTGTGGAGCCCTTAAGGGAACATGGTGATGGAAATATCTCTTTAAAACCTCTATAATTTCATAAACAAAGCCAAAGCATAATTAACTTGCTTGTGTCCAAGCAACTTGCAGTATTAATCTTTCAATGCTGAATGAATGGCCGATTTTGAATTAATTGGTTAAGTGAATGATTCAGTGACTCACTAGTCGTCACCAACTGGCATAATAATATAACTTGCAGAAAGGAAACTGGAACTGTTTTATAATGTAATATTTATTTCAATAACATTACAATTAATAGAATGTTTAGGTTAATGCTGCTGTCCAACCATGTTTAAAATGTTGGGTTAAAAATAGTGTTTAGTGGAAACCGATCTGTTGAAAAGCTATTAATGTAACTGAACTAGCAACAAATCTTTTCTTTTGTATTGTGACAAGAACATTTTTTTAGGACAGGGACAGTTCAAATGATTGAGTTATGACATTCTGATTAAAAATTGCAAGGTCAAGTTAAAAAAAAAAAAAAGTAGCTAACTAATTTTTAAAGTGTAGATTGACTAGATGAACTTTAAATTATGACCAGCTTGTAACTTGACAGGCTGCAGTTTTAAAGCTTCCCAACATTGTTACATAATGTCTGGTTTTCTCACCCACGCTTCTTTTCTTTTCACTCTAGTTATATGTAAGCATCCTGACTGGGTATTTAGCACTACAAATAGTACCGGTCACCGGGATGTTTAACAGGATTTCCTACTCTTTTAGGCCGATGTCATCAAAATCTCACTATAGCCAGGCAACCCTGATGTTAGTGTGATGCTCCACCCAAAAATGAAAAGTCTGTCATTTTCTCACCCTCATGCCATTTATTCCTGACTTTCTTTCTTCTGTTAAAAAAAAAAAAAAAAACCTTTGAAGAATGTTGATAACCAAACAGTTTTGGTTCCCATTGTAGCGAATCAGCTCAAAGGGGAAATATGAATAATTAATCATAACTAGTTATAATTAATTATAAATATTTAGATCCGCTGTAAGCATTCATTTGACCTCTCAGTGTCAAATGTCTGTTAATTCTAAGAACGTTAATTTCCTGGTTAAGGAAAATAACTTTCTTACTGTACAATACTACTCAGAGCATGTAGCAAAAATCTGCATGATTAGGGACTCCAGTTATGAGCAAACAAGGAACAACGTCAAGTGTGATACAAGTAAGACTTTATTAACTACATAAACACTTAAACTAGTCTAACATACACATACACACACACACACACACACACACACACGCATACAGTTGGTATAGGAAAAGGGTTAAAGCTTAGGCAGTAAAAAGAAGAGAAATAAAAACATGAAGCTATGGTACCATTGATATTCAGCAGATCTACAACCTGAAGGAAACATCAGTTTCTTAGTTCAAACACACCTTTGTAAAAAGGTGCATTTTCCTATGAATTAATTAGAGAACAGTCCATTTCTCTAGGCATTATGTGTCTTTCCTATGAGGAAACTGAGTGAGTTTCTCTGCCCACATTCCTTTGGGCAATAAAACCAGTGATATCAGCATTGGTTGCCATGGAACCAGAGGCCTGTTCTGCCTTTCGGAGGTGTTAGATGCATTTCGGGGGAAGGGTCCATAGACCCTCGTAATTGGCCCTTTGTTTAGGTGAGGGGGTGTTAGATATTATTTGTTAAATATAACAAATAGTTGTGTGTCTGATTGGTCCAAATGCTACACCATTAACTTCAGTTGTATAATTTTTATCCATACAGTGAAATTCAATTGAAACCGTAACTGTTTGATTAGTAAATGCTTACAGAGGTGTCAATTTTGGGTGGACTATCCCTTTAAAGCCTATCTTAACATAAAGACTGCTCTTACCGGTATTTGACAATAGCATGATTTTTGCATTGTATTGTAAGTAGTTTTGGTGAAAAGCATCTTCTAAGAACAGTGTATTCTTCTGTGTATGTCTCTTTAGATTTGCTGGGTATTCCTCCTGCCCCCAATAACGGCACACATGGCAGTTTAAACCATCTGCTGAAGAACCCACCCCACCAGCCGGTGTACCCCGCAGAGCACTCGGCACCATCGACATGCACCCATGTTAGCGGCTTCTTGCAGGACCCTCGCGGCTGCACCTGTGACTCCCTCACTGAGGCTGAGGTCAGCACTTTTAAAAGTCAAGTCACCTTTATTTATATAGCGCTTTTAACAATACAGATTGCGTCAAAGCAGCTTTACAGTATTAAATCGGAAAATAGTGTGTCAATAATGCAAAAGGACAACAGTAAACACTCAATTTTCAGTTAAAGGCAGTTCATAATTGAATTCAGTGATGTCATCATCCAGCTCAGTTCAGTTTAAATAGTATCT